CTGCTAGAATTTGTTTGAACAGGTCATTTTTATCAGTAGATAAGTCACATCCTGGGACATCACACTCTGTCTTTTATCAGAGAACATCCATTTGCGTTTGTATATTTTTTCTCATCCTTACTGTCTAACAAGGAACCACAAATTGATTTCAGGTTCCTTTTCAATGGCCACTGAAAATGAAATACTTACAGAACCTTATTATGGAATATAACAGTGTCATGCCCATAAATAAAGAGGGGGAAATGCCAAATGACACATCTTCCTGTCATGTTTCATGTTCTCAGGGATGGTAAACTATTTTAAGTTGTTTCTGTTTTTAGAATTAATGCTGTGATTCAAACTCCTGTAGCCGCTCTGTGTTGGTCACAGGTGTTCTTGTGATTTATTCAGTTGTTTATCCAGGCGGCCTCTGTAGCTGCAGGCTGACCGTGCCAACCTTGCTGCGGGCAGAGCAATGGGACAGAGTTTATCGCACAAATGACGGTGTGATCTACCCTTGTGTGTGTGTGTGATTGTGAAGAGGACGCTGACAGGTTTGGAGGGTCTGCGGGCAGTTTAGTTGAGACACTTAGCCAGAAACTGTGTAGTCTTTGATAATAATGCTCACTGGCAGCCTTTGTGTGCTGTTTGAGCACGTATTTGTGTATGTGTATGGATTATGGAGGAGTTGTCTCATGCTGAGGTGCTTGATAAAGTATATATGTCCTATATTTAAGTGTGACCTCACTTTCACACTGCAGAGTCAGTTAGAGATAAGAGAGCTGAAAATGTCAGCAGGTGTGTGGCTTACTGAAAAGATAGGCCTATAGGTGAAAGAGGAACTAGATATAGAATAAGTTCTAGATATGGACACACAAATCTCACACACAAATGTTTTTACATGACTTGCAGCAGCATATACAGTGTGTCCATAAATCAGAGACCGCATCTGGTGACCCAATTTAAATTATAGAAGTACATAAAAAGTTACAATTAAAGAAGATAAAATGAAATATTAATATTGTTAATATAATATAAAACAAAAATGAATATGATAATTATAATAATATATAATATAATGATATAATAATAGGAAACACTTAAAAAAGCATTATGATGCATAATTAAAAATACTTTTTTATTTAAAGGGGTCATATGATGCTTTTTTAAAGATCATTATTTTGTGTATTTGGTGTAACAGAATATGTTGGCATGTTTTAATGTTCAAAAAACACATTATTTTTCAAATACTGTACATTATTGTAGGTCCTCTATGCTCCGCCTCTCTCAAACGCTTCGTTTTCTACAAAGTCCCTCCTTCAGACAAGCGCAGTCTGCTCTGATTGGCCAGCTGACCCAGTGCATTGTGATTGGCCGAACACCGCAAGCACTCGTCGGAAATGTAACGCCCCTTACCATAATCACGAGCTTCGTCTTTCAAAATAAATGTAAAGACAGTAAATCATTATTATAATCATAATCATTAGTTTTACCATCAGTTCAAGCCCGAAAGGGGAACAGAGTCGCGTGACAGACATATGTGTTTGTGATGTGACCCCCTCTCTCTCTCTCTCGCGCTCTCTCTCTCGCTCTAGCGCGCTCTCTCTCCCTCTCGCTCTCTCTCTCTCTCGCGCGCTCTCTCTCTCGCTCGCGCACACACACATGATGCGCAAAACTCCGCATTTGAACAGTCAATAGCAAATACTTGAACTAATAACAAAACAGTAGCTGATTCTGAAGCGCCAGATTGTCATAGCAAAGTCAGAATGACCTCCTCTCCTAGGTTCACGAAACGGTCGTCCATAAAATGCATTGCTGTTCTGTTGTAAGTAATCTTAATGCATCTACTTTCGGAAGGCCAAATAAAGTGCCTTTGCTTTCGCCTAGAAACACACAGCGTCTCTCTGACATGGCTGCTTAAACACTAACTACGGTTACTGAAACCACACCTTCTTTCTTTGCGTGCACATTTGGGCACATTATGCAAATATTCCCACATAGTGACCTAGATATGTGGGGGCGTGTTAGAACGAGCCGTTTTAGGGGGGCGTGGCAGAGTCTTAACTTTGATAAAGAATATCTCTTTGGTTTTGAGACTTTAGTCTTTGCAACTTCAGGGATCTTATCTATGCACAATCAGCTTGTAACACTCCAAAGAGAAAGGAAAACTGGAAATCGCATCATATGACCCCTTTAAATCTATATCTTTATATTCATATCTATTTATCATCAGTCGATCTATCTACCTGTCTATACACACACAAATACATAATATTGAACATTTATTATACATCACATTTCTTTTTTAATGTCTTTTATGATTTTTATTATATATAAGTCCTGTGCACTTCAGTCTGGTTTGGCTCAGCTACAAAATCAGACATTAGAAGACTACAGAGGGCAGTTCGCACTGCTGAATGGATTATTGCCTGTCTAAACACATTCATGGCTTCTTTAATCGAATCACCTTAGTGTGGCAGTCAGCAGTGAGTGATATTCAGCCAGATTTTGCTTGATTCAGCAGAATTTACTTGTACTTAGGGAAGAACTTGTGCTTGTGGGTAAATCATCACTGAACTTAAATTCTATTCACTTCTTGTGTGTCTGATACAAACGTCATTGTGATTCCTTAGAGCCTGTTTGTTGTGTGAATGTTGTCAACACCCAGAGGAGTGAAGGTGTGTCGGCTTTGTTCTGAGGGGAAGTTAAGTTGGTGATGAAAGGAGTACGAGATATCATCTAATTCTCCACGCCCTTCTCCTTGCACAGACATGTTTGGCTCTCATTGTCGCTGAAGTACAGAAGCAATTATAAGATGCATTGCAGGAGAATCAGGTGTCTTGTAATGATGCATGTTCCTTTGAAATCTCTTAAAACGTGAACATTGTAATGCCCATTATCAAATACAAATCTTTTTCATGCATTTTCAATAAATGGGGACTGGAGGGTGCGTGCTTTAAAAAGAATTCAAAAGCACCATTAAAGTACAGTTAAAGTCTTCGGAAGCCATATAAAAGCTTTATGTAAGGAACAAACTGAGATCAACTGTCATTATTCACTTCTGATCATAAAGTCGTGATTCAAGAATCAGATCAGTTTTGTGAACCGATTCAAAATTCAAATGAAAAGATCAAATTCAAAAGAATGGTCTGTTCACTAATCAGATATGGCCGCTCGTATGAGCAACACAGAAATTTATATTTTCTATGAATATTTTTGAGCAAACTATTATGTGGTCTTTCTTTCTTTCCTAAAATAGAGTAGAGAATAGGTCTTGCCAAGGGACTATGAGTCTGTGTAAAGCCTATGTCAAGTCTAGAAATGTAGTTGATTTAAAAAAAAAATCTTTCTTTCTCCTTCCCTTCATCCAGCATGTCACTACAGACGTAGGTTTTGTCATACTCACTGATCTGTGTGAAATGCTCTAAATCTGTCCCTCCCAATCATGAGAATCCTGGCCACACAGCCGCCCTTATCTTAAGCCTGACCCAGAGAAACTTTTACCAGAATTACAACCAGACTGACGCCTCTGTGTTTGTCACTGTTTACTTGTCATATCTGCTTTTGCTCGTCTATGTGGAAGTGTTTGTTTATGTGTAAATCTATATAGTAAACTAGTTTGTAAGTTTCATACGCTTTTTCAATAGCGTCCTATTTTGAACTCTTTCTGTACTCTGGCACAACTGCATGAAGGGGTTGGTTCTGTGGCAGCCTGTAGAGGAAACACTCAAGGAATGCACATGCATACATGTACCTGTGATTTCTATTCAGTAGGTTTGTAAGCACAAGTTAATCATTGACCAGCGTTTACAGTGGGGTATCTGAAATAATAATGCTGGTTCTTTGTGCAGCGGTGTTTCCCAGCAGCTTGCCGTGGGTTAAATCCCTGATCTCCACAACTAGGATCAGTGCAGAGTTTCCCACGCCCCCCTCTCCCACTGATATACTAGCTTGAGGTGGATATGATCCACAACATTGCACAACATCTCTGTTTTCAGCCACAAATACACAGAAAACCGAGGAAGTTTCTCTCTATAGGCCTGATCTGTAATGTGTTTTATTGAATTTGGACAGGCTAGACACCTTTAATTTTACCCAAATGAAAATTAGGCTTTGAGGGAGATGTTCAGTTTGTTCAGTAGATTGTGTATCTTAGTGTTGACTGTTCAGTGCAACATTGAAGTGCTTGTCTTTACAAAATCTTATGTGACATGGGAATACTTTATTGCCATCTTTTTTTTCTTTTTTTTACATACATTTTTTCCAAGCATCATTATGCACACATAAAAAATCTTTTGCATTTAATTTTTAATTAAAAATGTAAAGTGTACTTTGCTTTAACCTTAACCTTATATTTTAGTATATGTTGTAATTAATTATTATATTTTATTATTTTATTTTCACATAATACCACAACATAATGCGTGTAATTTGTATAAATTTTTTTATTCTACTTATTTACTTTTTTATTTTATATTATTTTACTCCATTAATGCCACAGCATAATAAATGTATATTTTATTTTATTTTATTTTACCACAACTTAATGAATGTAGGCTATATAATGCATTTTAATGTATTTTTACTAATATAAAGTGAAAAACTAATAATAATAATTGAATAGTAATTACATTCAAATAAAATTGTTTAAAGTTTTTTTTATACTTCATAGTAAAATAATTAAAATGTATGATATACGTGTATTATGTTGTGGTATTATGTATGTATGTGCTTTTGTGGGTCTTGTGTACACAAGTATGTTATCTTAGGGGCTCACAGGCAAGCAATTTAAAAGGAAACGGGGTGTCTCAAAGCTTAGGGGCAAAGACCCAGGCTGCGTTCTGGCAGATACTGTTGATCCAGTGGAGGTGAAACGAGAGAGAAAGAGGGGGAAGAGCAAGGGGGAGGTGAGAAGGAGAAGGAGAGGGGGAGGAGAAGCAAATGGAGGAACGGGGAGGGTTGTGCAAATGAGAGCGAGAGAGCACACACACCCCTTTCTGCACTCTCAGCGGACAGACTCATCATCACATGGTTGGAGTGAGTGTGCTGTGGAGTTCTGATAGACAAGAGACACAGAGACGTGCTGGATTACAGCCAGTAATTGGAGGAGACATTACATGTATGAAATAAGCAAGAAGACATTCAAACCACTAATGTTTGGATACTTTATTGAGGAACAACAACGGACCTAGGATTTACCTCTGAGGTATGCCACACTATCAACTGTATTTCCATGCTATTTTACTCTCTTTCAGAGATGTCATTGCAATTGGACATTTATGTCTGCCTGTTGGACTTTCTCTGGGTCCCCTGGGATTGTGCTGGAGTGGACGGCTGACAGTGATAAATGCCACACTGTTTGGTTAATAAGGTTTACTTGCCATAGAGTCTTTGAAAGTCTGTCTTGTGTGCCTTTGTTGGACAATCAATATGCCGTGTGTGTCTAAGTGTGTATGTGGGGTTTGTTTTGAGAGGTCTCAAAAACAAATGGTTCTGTGGTCGTAAAAAACCCTCATCCAGACAGAAATGTTTGGAAGCCAAGGAGGAGGATCCATCAGTGTATATTCTCTCTCACATGCTCCCTTTGTGTGTGCGTGTGAATTTTCTCACTGGACGGAGTAAATCTTTCAGGTTTGCTCTCTATTTTTGCTGTTCTGTCACAAATTATCTTCAGCATTAACATTTTTTGTAAGTAGAAAACTTGAATGACAGCATGCTTTAGTTCTGAAAGTATTGTATGTACAGATCTGTCAACATACCCAGAGTTTTGTCTGTAAGAGTCTGTCTGAAATGTTTTGCAGCCTTGTTAAGTTCTGCTGTGTTACCTCATGAATAATGTGCCTCATTTAAAAGTTTTACTGTAAACCACCAGAGCCACTCCAGGATAGTTCAGTGTGTGTTTTTGTGTATGAGTGTGTGTGTGTGTGTGTGTTGTCTACAGTTCTGTGGAATGTGATTCATTGTGATTAGATGACTGAAAAAGCAGCTGAGCTGAGATTCTGAGGAAAGATACAAAAGAAAACAGACAGCAAAGTGAAATATAAATAAGATAAAAGATGACTACTGTATATAGACACCTAAAATGTATTTAAGCAAGGTAAAAAGTCAATCAGACCTGAAAGAAAGACCCAGATGCAGTGGACCACTAATATTTATACCGGTCTGTCTGGGCTCATGCATGGGGTCATTGATGCGGTTCTCAGCTGTTCGCAGTCAGACAGAGATGGCACACAGGGTGCCAGATTCCTTGGTTGTCTGAGGTCTCCCAGCGGTCTAGTGGCTTTATGAATGAATTACCGTAGAGTGCGCTGTGGAGGAACTCAAACGGGCCAAACAAAGACTCCTGCATACTTCAGTCTAGGAGCGAACACAGCAAACAATGAACCACACTCTTCCTATACCACCATATCACTGACCCTCTCAGAATCAGACTGGACAGAGACTACCTGTCTCCTTTAAGAGCTCATATCTGGAATTTATCACATGCGTCTGTCTTGTTCCCATCATATGCTGTTTAATCTATCGATTAGTCTCAATAAACATACTCCTTCCTTTAAAATGGGCTGCTGTCACACAGACAGATTGATTTTAGAGGACAGTAACTTTTGTGGTTTAGGTCAATAAGCAGCAGACAAGATTGTTCCTCAAATACTGGGCATAAGAAATGTAAAAAGTTTATTAACATGTAAAATATGGGGAATACTTTGGGAATTGCAGACCTTGCAGTAGCTGCTGGTTATTCAATTGAAATGGGACATACGTGTTCAAACATGAGTGTGTGTCAGTATGCATGTGCTTTATTGGTCTAATAAGATACTGTATTTGTATAGAAGTGTGTTTGTCTCTGTATATGAAGGCTTAGGAAGGCAATCTTGTTGTTTTGCTTTGCTCTGTAAGTGTGTTAAGTGGAACTAAGTAACAGAATGGCTTCTCTGCGACCCTCAGGGCATTTCTTCCTTCTTCTGCCCCACTGGAGCAGAGGGCATCAGGGTGAAACATGGGGGGTAGAGAAGCTATATGTCTGTGGGGGGTAGGAAATACGGCTTAAATGGGTCACAGTACTGCCACAGCGTGTTAAAACTGTACATTAACGAAGCTAATAAAAGAGATGAAGAGATAATGAGAGAAAGGCAAGGCTTTGTGTTCATTTAAAGGGTCTGAACAAAAAAAGGAGGGAGAGAGATACGCACCACCATTTAAAAGTTTGGGGTGAGTGCGATTTTCTTTTGTATTATTATTTGGAAGAAATTAATACTTTTATTCAGCAAGAATGCAGTAAATTAATCAAATGTGTAAAACAACAAACAATTAATCTTTCAGCAAGATAGAAATAGACATTAAGGCTACGTTCTCGTACAGACAATGGATGAACAAGTGAACATGGAGATCAGAGCTGTTATTGGTTTCTGTAGCACCTGCATTTGATCTTTTTCAAAGAGGTTAGGAAATTGTTTTTAGATTTTTTTTTAAAGGAGACATATTATGCCCCTTTTTACAAAATGTAATATAAGTCTCTGGTGTCCCCAGAATGTGTCTGTGAAGTTTCAGCTCAAAATACTCCACAGATAATTTATTATATCATTTTGAAAATGCGATTTTGAGTGGAAGCAGAAACAAGCTGTTTTTCGGGCCTGTCTCTTTAAATGCAAATGAGCTGCTGCTCCCGCCCCCTTTTCCAGAATAGAGCTAAGCCATTACAGCTCATACCTGCTAGAAAAAAAACATCTGTTTTGGTTCTGATTATCATGTTTATCGTTCTGAAATCATGCGTTTTAAACCATATGAGTTTAAACTTATGATATAAGGTTTTCTGAGAGCACACACCCGAAGCACATGGACAGAAAGCGGCCACCACACAGCATGTGAGTACTAAACTAAGTTCTCATTCACACACAGGTTTACGTTAAAAACACACAGGAGTTACAAAAAACAGTCGGTTATGTCTGTGAAGGTAAACAGCTGGGAAATAAATTGCATGTTTATTTTAGATCTGTGTGGCAGCAGCAATATACATTAAATAAATCAACAAATCCACTGCTTGTCTCCTCTGAGGCTGGACTGTAAATAGTGTTCTGTGCTCGTCTGTGCAGCCAAAAACAGAACAGTTAGCATGTTTTGCTCAAACTTTCGCCATGGCATTAGAGCTGGTTCACTGTTGTCGCTTGCTAAATCAAATGTCGGTGCCGTGGGTGTAAATTTACAGATTATGGGGCGGTAATATTATAATGAAATCCCTTTGCCACGTCACCAAGGGAGCGAAATCAGACATTTTTTCAGAGGCTTTCAGAAAAAGGCTTCTCAAAACAAAGTTACTTGGTTAATCTTTTTCAAGTTTCCTTGGTTGGTAGATGCACTGGGGACCTGATTATAGCACTTAAAACCTGGAAATGGCAGATTTTCATGATATGTCTCCTTTAAGGTATGTATCTCTAAACTTGTTACAGATACTCTAAAGTAGTTTCACACTATTTTTCAAGCAGCGATCAAACACACACATTCATTGTTCTCACGGACAGCTCATGAATACATATAACCTAGAAACCAGATGCCATGGATCAAACAAAAAATGCATAACCATTATGGATTATCTGTGATGTTGTGGCCTCTGTAAACCCGTAAGGAATAGTCTGTATTATATGAGATATTATAATCCTCATGTTAGATGTGTATGTGCGAGACCTGACAGATATTCCCTGTCGTCTCTTGCTAATGTGTGTTTCTTAATGCAGCGTGTCCTCCATTCATTCAGCGTGTCCTCCTCTTTCAATATTAGCACTTGACTGGATGTTTAAACGTAGACCCACAGGAGGTGACGAGGAGGGGGTAATGGGAGAAAAAAAGGAAATAGAAACATACATTTGTGGCTTTGTTACACAAATTCTGTGTGTGTGTGTGTGGGGGGGGGGGGGCAGCTTTTGCTATCTGTGTAGGTTTGAAATTTCTAAAAAATGTCCCATAAGAATAGCAAAACATTTATGGTGTTACCATCTTTCCTCTAAGCTCACAATATCTGATCTTTCACCTTTAGCTTCCATTAAAGGCAGGAGAGTAATGTGACATTATTGAAAGTAGTGTTTTTTCCCCCAAGTAATTTGTTAATAGGAACATGCCTACAGTAAGGGTGTGTGTGAATGGGTCTTGCTGACGTTTGTATATGTCATGCTTTTTCATAATGGATGCAAGAGGCATCTCTTCTTGTCTAAATCCTGTAGAACCAGAAAAATTAAATTTCTAACCCAAAGGCAGGAAGACCCACGCACAAACGTACTGTTTCAGAACAGAAGTCCCTTTCCGTAAGGACGTTATTCCTGCAAAGCCAAAAGAATAATAAAGTGGTGGTGCAAGTGTGGATCTAGGAAGCATGTGTGTTTAAACTCTAGTAAGGGGATCTCTGTGTGAGAGAGTGGGCTCAGGAATTTGTGAATGGACTGTTAACAGCTAGATCAAGCATCTTTGAGTCAACTATTTATTGAGTAAAATCCGTAACCGTTTAACCATTTAAATTTACCCGTCACAACAAAGGCCTTGATCTGACACATTTCAGATAATTTTAATCTTTGAAGATCTACAGACCACAAGCCTGCTGAGACGGGCCATGCAGCTGCAGGCAAACCACAGATTACTTACTCATTCACTTAACGACTTTAGTGAGACAATTGACAAGAATAATGTTGAAGAAAGAGAGATTGGGAGAATAGAAAAGAGAGAGGGGAGTTGTTGGGAATTAACCACGTGAACCTTTACACTCAGCTAAATTTTTGTTAGTCTGAGAGTCTCAAAGAAAAGAGACACTCAGTTCTTAAAAGAACAGTTCACCCAAAAGTGACAATTATGTCATCATTTACTCACCCTCGTGTTATTCCAAACCTGTATGACTTTTTCTTTTGGAGATCACAAAAGAAGATCGCACCCAAAGCTTCCATATGGCTTCAGAAGAACACCTTTACAACACTTTTGTAGTTTTTTTGTAGTCAGTTTGGATCTTGACAGGCCTGGGCTTCATTAACTTTCATTGTATTAAAAAGTGTTCCATGTAAATGATGACAGAATTGGCATTTTTAGGTGAACTATCCCTTTAATGCTACTTGTTCCCATATCTGTTTGTGACTAACACCCTTTCAGTCAAAGCACAAAAGAGACTCCCCTTCAGCAAGGGTCATCAGGGAGAAAAGATTGGCTCTCTCAATATCCTCCACTGACCTGGAA